GGCCGGGCACCTTTTCATTCGGCCGTGAGTGGGCTGGACTGGGTGACCGGGCGCCATCAAAGGCCCGAGGGAAGGCCGTGGGGCGACACTCGTCTAATGACAAGTAATTGACGGATTCGAGGCCGCGCATTACCAGAGGAACGGGGAGGCATTAATTATTTAAAAACGATTAGCCTAGTCGTATGTCCTGCAGGCGTTCCATCTTGTTTAGGGAAGATAACCCACCACGAGCCGGAGCTTTGGAGCGCAGCGGGCTCTCTACCCAGCCCGCCGCGGGTGAGGTGACAAAGGTGCGCGGCCCGGGGCGCCAGGGAAGGCGGGGAGGGGGACCCATGCTCCCCACACAGAGATGCCCACATAACTGACACTGACAATTATAGGGACCTATTTCTGCCCTTTTGAGTCGGGATTTGGTGATTCCGGGGCAGACGGGAAGAGCGCTTGTCTCCCCGCCTGGCGAAATACCTAGAAGTCTGCGCGGGCTTCAAACAAGGCCGGATGTCTAGCCCTTTAAAATAAACACCCTAGGGGAAATGCAAATTTCAGGGGACATCTGGTAGACCCCAGACGAAAGACACCTTTTCAGTACCCTATACCCTGTCCTGTAAAGGAGTTCCTGCAGTTTCAACTGGCAGCTTTGGAACTTCTAGCTTTCCGAGTCGGCGTCTTTCCGCCGGCGCAGAAAGATGCGATTGGTTCTGTTCGGCCCTCCAAACTCCCGTCCTCCCGCACCGCAGCGCGCCCCTGCACCGGGCCAGCTTCTGGGAAAATGAGGATAAAAGGCCTAGTGGCCTATTTCTGTCTCCACCCACCCCCCACCCGGCGTCCCGCTTGTAACACCCGAAGCTCCCGAACCTGTCTGCAGCGGTGCGCGCCTGTGCGTAAAGGGCACCCGCCGCTTCTTGCAGCGAGAAAGTTTACTCCTTTCTCGGAAAGGCCTTGTCCCTCCCCTGATGGCCTCGTGGCGTCGACTCCCACTACTGCCCGATTTAGGGACTTGGGGCAAAAGCCTAGACCAGACTGGAACCCGTACGCCCAGGGATTGGGGGGAGGGCTTCGCCACTCTCGGGCCTCTGTCCCCGCAGCCACCCGGTACCAGCACGCCGTTTTCCGCGGCACCCACCCCAGACTCTGAGGCCAAGGGCGTTCCCCCCACCCCCACCCTCTCACTGTCCTTAGGAAACGCGAGGCCGTCGGATCGAATCTACAGCCCAGAGGCGCTGCAGGAGCCTGGCTTCCCGTAGCTTCGGGGCCCCACCAAACTCTCTATGCTCAGAACCCAGACTGAGTCTGTTTGCAACTCTTCGCCCCCTTATCCACCCACACCTTGCATTCTCAGAAATCCCCGAAAAAAAGACCACCTCCCAAACTCCAGGTTTCTTCACTGACTTAGCTTCTCACTCCCTACATCGCAACCCCACCTCGCAACCCCTCGCGTTGGAGCCCTTCGAAGGGAAAGGGACTGGCTGGGGGAGGGGAAGCGCGCAGACGGGAATGGGGGGCGGACGCTGCCCAGGGGACCTGGTTATGGCCCCAGAGTGGGCGCGCTCCCTACCTGCGGTGCGGCGGCCGGGCGGCGGAGCGTCCAGCGCGCGGAGGGAGGCGGCCGACTGCTCCGAGCCGAGGCATCTCCGCATTTATTTGAGCTCAAACCGAGCGACTGTTGACTTTAGCACACAAAGCAAAGATTTCACTGCCCGCTAGTTTAAAAATGAATATTTTACCAAGATATCGATCAGCGTTATAAAATTCAGTTAAGTACAATGGGATCCTAGCAAAAAAAAAAAAAAAAAAAAAAAAAAGAATAATAAAGGAGGGGGAGGCAATATAATATCTGTGCAAATTTGCTGAAGTGTGACGTGGCATGGAAAGTTTACCCTCCTGGAATTCGGATCTAGAATGTTTTTTTCGGTTGTTTACTGACTTTGTTTATTCACAGATCACGGTTGCTTAAACCGACGCGCGGACGGCGCGGGGGGAAAAGGAAGAAAAAGAGAGGGAGGAAAAAAGAAACGCCGCACCCTACAATACTTAGAGTTGGGGAAAGCGGGCGGAGGACGATCTGTGAGCTAGAGAGCTTGGAGCCCGGCTGGGGGAGGGGTCTGAGGCGGGCGGGGGTGGGGGGGGCGGTGTGTGTGAAAGACACAAGAAGCGCAGAAAAGCCTCCGAGAGCGCCCGGCTCCCCGACATCCTTTTTATGTATTCGGACAGAACTATATCTTATCGGCCGGGATCAGTGGAGGGGGGGAGCGCTAAGTAGTTTAAAACGACCCTCGCACAATGGGCGTGCGATACGAAACATAGCAGGTTAGGGCAGCGCTTTCAGTCTCCATTGTCCCCCACTCGGCCCCCGGCCCTGCCTCTCGGCTCCTTCGCCACGGGAGCCTTTTATGTGATAATGAAACACATTTCAGGCCGGGCTCACGACGTGTGTGTCCTTGCCAGGGGGAGAGACGGGCCTGATTGCTGGCTGCGGCCTCCGGATCCCCCCCACCCCCACCCCGCCCCAATTTCTCTTCCTTGTGTTCCTGGGACAATGTGGCATGTTAAAAAGGGATTTGGAGACGGGGGGGGGCCGGGATGCGAGGGGAGAGCAAACCCCCTCAAGCGCGTGGGAAGGCCTGGGCTTGAGGAGGCAGAGACCCCGCAAGGTGGCAGAGGGCAAAGCGGGGGAGGGGGGTTTCCAGGGTTGGGGCGAACCTGGGACACTCCAGGTTTGGATGGTCAAAAAAATCTAGTCCCTGAAAACAGGGTCCTGGGCTGTGAAACTTTGACACAAAAAAGTCCCGGCTTCAGAAGCCTGCGGAGAATAACCGCCCACCTTAAGACAGCTGTGCATGGTCCATCCCTAAATCTGCGGGGACACTGGCTCCTGCCCTCGCCCCGCCAGCTTGTAGGCCCGTACATGCCCCAGGCAAAGTCAAAACCGGGCCCCCTTTGCGCGCCCAGGCCGCGCTTCGCCTCTGGGGTCTCCAGTTTGGTTGGCTGCCTATTTAGGGATGCTACGCCATCTGTAGGGAGATACAGCAAGATTTGTAAAAATCTATTCTGGGTCTTTCTTTATACTTTTGGATTTTTCTTTTAAGGCTCACAAAATACCTCCTCAGACCTTTTGGCCCTGCAATCCTGGCTCCCCAACCTGGGCTAACTGAACGCTGTCCAAAGGCTGCGGTGTTTGTGGGGAGGCGGAGTAAGCACATCTGCAGATCCTGGGCTCTCACCACTGGCCAGAATCACTGGACAAGCAGCGCAAGATACCCCCTTGTCTCCACCTCATCCCCAAATATACCTTATTTTTAAAAAGGAAGTTTGGACCATCACCCTGAGCGATCCCTTTAAACAACAATTCCAGGAGAAAGTCTGTTTCTCCAGATCAGGTGCTGGAGCGGGAGGAGGTGGTCCCAGAAGCCTCGCGGCTCTCTGACTATAGCTAGGACTGCCGAGGCTGTGCAGAATACCTAAGTGAAGGAGGAGGGTAGGATAGGGTGGTGGAGTGTAGACAGAAACCTGAGGCTGTAGGATCCAGGCAGAGTTCCAATTCCACAAGAGGGTAAAGGGGTACCAGAGAAGCAGAGATGAAAGTGCTGCACCAGGAATTTGCAAATCCAGTCTGGGTTCACTGACTTGAAGGGAGGCCTAAGATTGGAAATACAGTAAAATCCAGGCTTCTCCCCAGAGAAGTCGGCCCCCTGGGGCCCAAGAGACATCAACTACATTGTACCTTCACATGACCCAGATGGGAAATTAAGATACATAGTTTTCTCCCTACTTTAAAGCTAAACCTGCATCAAACCCAGGGAATGGTCCACCTTGGATCTGTGTGTTTCATTGTGTGTAAAGATAAACTCAAAACTCCAAAAGTGGGGTGCCTGGGTGGCTCAGTCATTAAGTGTCTGCCTTCCGCTCAGGTCATGGTCCCAGGGTCCTGGGATCGAGCCCCACATCTGGCTCCCTGCTCCGCGGGAAGCCTGCTTCTTCCTCTCCCACTCCCCTGCTTGTGTTCCCTCTCTCGCTGTGTCTCTGTCAAATAAATAAATAAAAATCTTTTAAAAAAAACCCTCCAAAAGTAATCATAAATAATATCAATTTCTATTTAATGATGTGCTTGCTGAAGTGTTTAGGGGGAAGTGTACTGATGTCTGATTTACTTTGCAATGCGTTTAGGTCTATGGCCATGCCACTCTGAATGCGCTTGATAGCATCTGAAATGCATTTAGAAAAAATAACCTGAATTAATGAACGGAGGTGTAGATAGCTGGACAGATATGTGATATAACAAGTATAGTGAAACAATAACTGTTGGATCTGGGCAATGGGTACGTGTGTTTTCTGTAAAATCTGTTCAACTTCAGTATGTCTGACAGTTTCAATAATAAAATGTTAAAACAACAACCATCATGCCCTCCCTTCACCAAAATAAAATGAAATCTGCAACCGGCCAGGATCCCCTTCCCCACACTTTTAAATAATTTCTGGACCTGTTTATTTTTCAAGTCAGGCAAAGGGAAAAAAAACCTTGAAGATTCAAGGGGTAAAACTGGCAGTAACACTTTAATATAGATTTGTGGAACTCTGGCCCTTTCAGCCAGAACACACATTTATAAGCCATAAATAAAACACGCAGAAACCATAAATTAATCAGACCCGAGACCTGGATTTCACCGTGTCAAGAATGGGAATGCATTTTTTTTTTTCTTTTCTTGGTCATTTACAACAGACCCTTACATCTTTTTTTTTTTCTTTTTAAACAATAGTACAACTCTGCTTCTCTGTTAAAACTACATGGTTTTACACTGAGTCACTCACAAAAGTTTGTGGGTTTTTTTGTTTTTGTTTTTTTGTTTTTGTTTTTTGTTTTTTAATAAAGTAAGACTTTCCTGCAACAGCAGCAATGGAGGAGAAAGACAACAACAAAAAATCAGAACTCTCAAATGCTTAAAGAAGCAGGCGTCTACACAGTAGTGGAAACCGGAGGCTTTTTACTCTTTTCTTCCTCTTTTCTGTTTGTTTGTTTTTGACTGTTTCTCTTTTTGCCTTCCCTCCTTATACAGAATAACAGGTATCAGTGTGGCCCCTCTGTTTGGGAGGGAGAGCTGCGGAAGGTGAGGGGAGACTGCTGTCCTGGGGGTGGGGATGTAATGGATTTCTTCTCCCTTGGATCTCTCTAACACCCCTTCCTCAAACTCTCCGCCCCACTTCCTCTCTCTTGTCCTCGTCCCGGGCTAGCCCGCTCCAGCCGTCTTCTTAAGAGGAGTTCATTATGGGCCGGGAGTACACCCCCTGGTAGTAGGAGGTGTCTGCGGCCAGGGGCGAGGCGTCCAGGCCCGCTTTGTTCGTGACCGGGCCCATGGCCAGGCTACCCGGCATTGGGGAACCATAGCCAGGGTAGTGCATCACCTGTTCGTAGGCCTTGAGGTCCATTTTGTGGGGCTGGTGGTGGTGGTGGCTGTGGTGGTGTTGCTGCTCCGAGGACATGAGGTTGTTGATGGAGAAGGGGTGGTTGAAGGCGTAGTGGTGCTCCGGCTTAAGATGGGCCTCGGGCGGCAGGCCTGGGTGATGGGGGGGCCCCAGCAGGTGGGCCGCCGCCTGCTGCTGCTGCTGCCCCGGCGACGGCGCCGGCTCCGGGGGGCTCAGGGCCGCGGCCGGCGTCCCCTTCAGCTCCCCCAGGGCCCCTCGCTTGTGCTCCTGGCACGGAGAGGCGCTCGAGTGGGGCGACTCAGTGCCCGCCGGAGTCTCGGAGGCCGGCCCGGGGGCCTCCCCGAGCTGGCCCTGCGAGGTCTGGGGCCCCGCGGCCCCCTTCTTGCCACCGCCCGTGGCGCCTGAGGCTTCCTTCAGGGCCAGCTGCTTCTCACACTTGAAGCGCTTCTGGCGGCGCAGGTAGCACCCGTTCTCGAACATGTTGCCCGAGTCGGGGTGCAGGGTCCAGAAGGAGCCCTTGCCGGGCTTGTCGGGCGAGCGGGGCACCTTGAGGAAACAGTCGTTGAAAGACAGCGAGTGGCGGATAGAGTTCTGCCAGCGCTGCTGGTTCTGCCGGTAGAAGGGGAAGAGGTCCATGATCCACTGGTAGATCTCGCTCAGCGTCAGCATCTTGTTGGGGCTCTGCTGGATGGCCATGGTGATGAGCGAGATGTAGGAGTAGGGCGGCTTGGCGTGCGTGTAGCTGCGCCGGTACGTCTTGGGGTCGCGCGCGCGACTCAGGCCTGCCTGCCCGTACATGGGGCTCATGGAGTTCATGTTGGCATAGGGGGTCAGGCCGCCCATGGCCCCGGCCGCCTGTCCCCCGAGCGGGCTGAGGCTGGGACTCAGGTGCGGCCCCATGCCCGCCACGCCGGCCGCCCCGGCTGAGCCGCCCATGCTCGCCATGGCGCCCGCACCGGGGGACATGCCGGCCAGGGACGGGCTCATGCCCGCGCCCACGTACGAGGACATGTTCATGGAGCCCGCGCTCATGTTGCCGGAGCCGCTGCCCATGGCGGCCGCGGACATGCTCATGTACGTGTTCATGCCGTTCATCCCCAGGCCGGCGTTCATGTTGCTCACGGAGGAGTAGCCCTGCGGACAGAGCCCAGGGAGGGAGGCGCACAGGGTTAGCACCGAAACTAGAGCGTGCCCTGACCACATACCCACCGGGCTAGCCCAGGCCCCCGCCTGCGGGGAGGTCTCTGGAGAGTCCTTCCCTCTCCTGCCCCGCCCCCCCCCCGCTGCCCCGGACACCAAGTCCGTTTCACCCGGAGCGCGCCGGGCTCGCCCTGGAGGAGGTGGCAAGCAGGCTGCGGCAGTTTGCATGGGGCCGGATCCTAGCCCTTCTGTTCCGTGCTCGGATTCTAAAGCAAGGGTCCCTCGGGGTACCCCTAAGCCAGGCACCCCAAATGCATCTCCTTTCCCCAACTCTCAGGCCAGCACACCGAGTCCGCGCCGCGGCCTCGGATGCCACCTCCGACCCTAGTGAACAACCTGTGGGTCACAGCCTAGGGCGCCCCGGCGGCCTCAAGCGGAAATTGTCCCAGGGTCCTCTCTGTTCATCCTTTCTCTCTCTCGGGACCCCATCCTTGGCCCCAGGGGAACCAAAACCCAGTGCCTGCGCAGAGTCTGGGGCCAGCTGGAGGCACTGAGTGGAGGGGCAGGGAGGAGACGGAGAACTGAACTACGCGGAGACCGAGAACTGAACTACACGCGGCTGGGCTTTGCAGCCACAAACTTCCTTTCTCTTTGTCCCTAGTTTTTGAATCTGCCTCTACCTCAGCCCCCAACTCCTACCCACCTTCTCTCCAGCTCCCCACCCCCTTGCCGGCCGACCTCCCACCCCTCCCCAGCCGCGCGCTGCCAAACATAACTCTGTTAGGATAGTGCGTGGCTCGGCCACGAAGAGGATTTGGAGGCGCCGCAAGTCAATATTTGATCACAAAGTTAATATTATCTCAAGGCTAACAGTGTGTCGTATAAAAAAGAGACCCATTTGAGTCGAAGGAGGGTGGAAAAGGCGGCTGCCCAGAGCGGCTGGGGGTGGGGGGCGGGTGCCGGCGAGGGAAGCGGTCCTGAGGTTGGGGAACAGTGCGAACGCCACCACCCCACTTCCCCCTGGAAAAGGCGAGTGCCTACCTCCGGCTCGGCATAGTAGCTGCTCCAGTCGGACGGCTCGTGCCCTTCCATCTTCACCGCTCCCAGCATACTGGAAGCCGAGTGCATGGCAGTTTAAAATTTAACAGCCACAACAAACGACCAGCAATCACCCCCCACCCCCACCCTCTTAAAAAAAAAAAAAAAGTCAGCCAAGGCTAGGTCCCCTCCCTCCCTCTCTCGCACTCCCTCTCTCCAGTTCCACTCCCTCTCTCTCCCTTGGCCGGCCGGAGGCGGTAGTTGGAATGGGCGGGAGGGGTCAGCCACGGGAGGAGGGGGCCAAGGATGGGAGGAGGCCCGACCCGAGCCCCGCTGTAGGGAGCGCCCGCCGCCCGCCGCCGCCGCCGCCGCCGCCGCGCTTGCGGGCTGCTGGGCGGAGGCCGAGGTTGGCAGTGCGAGCTGCCGGGAGGCGGCGGGAAGCGCGCGGCGCGGGGGCGGGTGGGGGGGTGGAAAGAGGGAGGAGGAGGAGAGGAGGAGGAGGTGGAGGAGGAGGAAGAGGAGGAGGAGGAGGAGAGGAGGAGGAGGAGGAGGTGTGGATCGCGGAGCCGACAAGTGCCGCAGTGACGTGGGCGGCTGGTGATATAGCGCGGCGCGCGGGCGCGGGCCTCCAATCCCCAGACCCGGGGCAGCCCATTTGAATAATCAGCTCCCACCTAGGTGAGAGGGAGCCTCGGCAGGCGCCCGGCACCTGCCCCTCGGCGCCCGGCGCCCGCCCCACTGCCGCCGCGCCCCACACCAGTACCAGGCCAGGCGAGCGGGGCGAGTGGGCGCGCAGGCTCCCTGCTCCAGCCCCCTTTCCCCCCGCGCGCGCGGGGACTACCCGTGGGAGGAGGGACCTGGGAGGAAGCCACCCCTGGAGCGGCCCAAGGCTCTGACCCCCGCCCGGTCCCCTAGCGCCCGGCGCCTGGTGCGCCTGTCCGAGGACGCGCCCGGCCTCTGCGCCAGGTTGCCCCTCCGCAGAGCCTTAGAAACGCCGCATTTACTCATCCCGGGTTTCTTCTCTCTCAGTGCTCATTCCCTGTCAAAACGACAAGACGGTGACAGAGCCAATTTGCAAAGCGCTGTCGTATTTAGAAAAACTGTACACACCTTGAACTCGCCTGCCGCTGCTCCTGGGAGGCCCCTCCCGGTTACAGTTAAGACCCAGAGAGGCTCCGGAAGGCGTTCGGGGAGCGCCTGGTCCGGCCGTCGCGGCTTTCGCCTCCTCCGAGCCCAGCCTCCGGCGACCGGCAGGGGGGTGGCTGTCGGGCAAGACACTGTCCGATCGCCCAGAGCAGGGCGCACGCGGCCCCGCCAGCTGCAGTCGACGGTTGGGAGACTGCTATTTGTCTCTGACATTCAGGACGCCGTGTTTCAAGGTTACTTTGCAGTCACAACCGAGGTGCCCACAGCATTTCGTAACTAAAACAAACAGGGCAGGAGGTGGGGGGTGAGGCGGGAGGAGAGAGGGGAATAAAGGAATCAATAATGGGACACATGGAATTTACTTCAGGAGGGTCTCTGTTCTCTGCTTTCTTGAGGGGCTCTTTTGTAAGAATTAGAAGCCTCGCAATCATATACTTCCTTTTTATTTTTGCTCCAGCTTCTGGGTTCAGATTATCATCTGTCCTGGGCCAGCTATCAACACCCTAATGAGCCCAGATTGCAGGGTTTTGGGGTATTACAGGTGTTTGATGTGGACTTCTTTTCTTGGTTCTAAAAACAGGCTGGGCCATGAGGATCCAGCCCTGTGCCCCCATCTCAGAGATAAAGAACAAATAGGAAATCGTGGGTATCTGGCGCACCTGTCCGATATGATGGGCAATGGTGCCAGAAGACAGGGGCGAGGTGGCAGGCCCTGAGCTGAGCACCGAGAATGGAAGGACTGTGTGAGGGTCAGTCTAGAAGGACAGCAAGGAAGAGCAGTAAGCCACCCCTTCCCGCTTCCCCAGGTATCTCAGGCCTGCATCACTTTGAACCAGATGCAGTCGCTGGCACCACCTTTTGTGCTGAACCTCAAATGGTTTGACCCGTTCATAGTGAGGGGGTTAATGAACCCCACCTAGAGAGTGCCAGGGCAGGATCCCCCAAATCCGAAGTCTGCGTGGCTTTGAAAGCCACTCGCAGCGCGGAGGGCTCCGGGGAGAGGCCAGCAGGCCCAGTGCACCTGGGAAGTGTGTTGTGGGGTGTATGCACCTTAGTGTAAGTGTGTGCTGGGGATCCAAAGGAACCAGATTCCCAGCATCTCTCACCGGGTCTCAGAGCGTGAGGGGAGCAATTTAAATCTTCTCCCCAGGGCTTGGGGAAGAGGGGTGCGCCCTGGTGCTCAAAAGGTAAGTTACTTGTTTTTTTTAAAGCTTTCTGCAGAGGCCTAGGGCCAGTTACATACATACACACACCTCAAAACACACTGTCAATCTCACCCCCCAAGGAGCGCTTCTCAAATTCAGTAAAAAAAAAAAAAAAAAAAAAAGAGAGAGAGAGACGCCCAAACAGACAAACCTGCGAAACAACGACAGATAGCTTTCTGGTGTTATGGAATCGCACATTCTGGTTAACCTAATCTGTGCATATGTGTATGTGTTCCGCTGCCTTTTCTCTTTTTGCTCCAGATCGAAACTATGGTTCTAGAAATTATTGCACGAGCAAAAGGAGCGAGAGGGACCTGGAGAGGAGGTCCGCGGGAGGAAGAAGTGCTCCCTTCCTAAAGAGCGAACCTTCCAAGTTCTCGCCAGAGTTGGTGGTCGGGATCCGGACGCACCCGGGCGCGCTCGCCACCGGCTTCCGCAGTGACAGGACGCCCCCTATCGGCCGCGCGGTCCTCGGGCCCGACACGAGCCCTCTTTACCCCTGCGCTCCTAAGCCCGAAACCCAGGCGCCTGGGCACCTTTTCCCCGCCTCTCAGATACGGGTTTGGCATTTCTTTGGAGTTCCCCGAAGTTCTGCGCAAACCCAAACCGCCTCCTGCCTCCTCGGAGGCGCCGAGGGCTCGGGTCGGGTTCGAGCCGCCAGTACGCGACCCTCCCGAGCGCGCGCGGCCGCTCCCAGGAAGGCGAGGGCGGCCTGCAGCGCGCTGTAGGCGCCGGTTGCTGCGAGGAAGCAGGAACGTTCACACAGCCCGAGGTTCGCTTTCCGTCGCCGGCGCGGAGGTCTTTGGAGGCGCTACCTCCCCGGCACACTCCTGGTGCTCCCCGGCAGCTTCGGTTTCTAAAGGTTTATTCAGAGCGTCTGGCACGAAAGCCTCAGGCTGGAATGCTGTAAATTGCTCTGGGGAGCTTCTCTCCAGGAAAAAGTTCGCGGGTAACTTGGGTTGAAAACAGATGTTTCCCCTGATACCTCCTTAGTTTAAACCGTACCTAGGACCGAGACCTGCAAAGCTTTCCTTTGACCGTGTCCTCCCTGTTTTCCTTTCTTTTCGTTGGGTGCTGCCCCGTTTCCGTATAAGGCCGCCTTATAACTGACGACTGTGCTTGGGGTTAGCACGCTGTTTTTATTCTGGATGCTGCCCCAGCGGATTTGACTTGGGCTCAAATCTGAGCCTCCTCTGCTCTTGCTGGGGAGAAGACGCTACTATCCTGCATTCCCCTAGCAAAACCCCTTTCACCTGGGAGCTCTCTCTGTGATATGACACTAGCCCGGAGAAGGGGATATCAATAAACAGAGCTCAGCTTCCCTAAGAAATAACCTGTAAAATACCAAGGGCGGGGGTCGGGGGTGAGGGTGGCATTTGGTTCATCAATCCTCCAATTCCTGAAGCCCTTCAGAGGATAAATGTCCAGCGCAGGCCTTGCTCTAGGACATTATCAGGCAGGTCTGCAAGTGAGATTAAGACAGAGGAGATGGAAAGGTGACAGCAAAGTCTTGTGGAAATATACGTTTTACTTTTATTTTTTTAAAAGATTTTATTTATTTATTTATTTATTTATTTATTTATTTATTTATTTATTTATTTATTTGTCAGAGAGAGAGAGCATAAGCAGGGGGAGCAGCAGGCAGAGGGAGAAGCAGGCTCCCCGCTGAGCAGGGAGCCGGATGGGGGACTCCATCCCAGGACCCTGAGATCATGACCTGAGCTGAAGGCAGCCGCTTAACCAACTGAGCCACCCAGGCGTTCCACACGTTTTACTTTTAAATAAGTTTTTGGCTTGGCAGAAATCAGATGCCCACACCTGTCTTATTCACAGAATGGCATTTTCAGGGTGAATTTTTGTTCTTTATAAAGAAAAGCATATAGTTGTGCCAAAGGTTACAATCATCATTTCACTTTTTGCGGGTGGGTTGTTATTTCTGAAATTTTATTTAAAAAACCCTGACCATCGGGTGCCTGGGTGGCTCAGATGGTTAAGCGTCTGCCTTCGGCTTGGGTCATGATCCCAGGGTCCTGGGATCGAGTCCCGCATCGGGCTCCCTGCTCCTTGGGAGCCTGCTTCTCCCTCTGCCTCTCTCTCTCTCACTCTGTCTCTCATGAATAAATACATAAAATCTTTAAAAAAAAAAAAAAAAAACCCTGACCATCAAAATTAGTCTATTTGGTACTGAACACAGCCTCAGATACTCTTTTGCTGGCTTTCATAGTTCTTTGATGGCCCAAACACCAGTTGTTTATGGAAAAGTAATTAGCTAAGAGTATGTTATCAAAGGAGATTTATGTGAAAGATTGAAGATAAGATTAAGCATGTCCCAGTCTTCTGAAACACACACACACACACACACACACACACGAACATGCTGATAAAGGTGGGAAAAAAAGCATAATACAGCAGTATAAGTTCAATACACAACACACCAGGATACAATGTAATCTTGCTCTCCTGGGCAAGATTCACAGGAAAAGAAGTAATAATAAACAATGATAAAATAAAATGAAATAAATATGATGCTAAAGTGATTTTTGAGTGGTAGAGTCATACCTTCAATCTACATCTTTTCTGCAGTATAGTTGTATCATTTTATACCATTATTATTTTATTATTAAATTGTTTTTTATTATTTTAAGGTGAAATATGTAATAAGAATATTAGATCTGATGTCATGGAAACTTTAGCACACTAACTTACAGCTATTCATTCAATTCTCACACTGAAAAGGAG